AGCTCGATTTCAAGGCACCCTCACTTAAAAAATCGGCTTTTCGGCGGAACTCAGCGGTCACAAATTCTAATTTTGTGGGTACAAATTAGTCTTTAATTAGTCCTAAATTATATAGGTATATTTCAGAGACATGGAGAGACTCTGGTATATTTTTACTTGATTTGATCAAAGTGGGGGTGCCAACTTTATCGAGCTGAAATGAAGCAATCTTTGCGCACCTACATATAACCACAGAATATAACTGTTCGTAATTTCAGTAGAGAATTTGAAATTTCACACATGTTCGTCTTGAATTCGACAATTCACAGAAAATGAGTAAAATTCCAGTAACTGAAAAACTCTATAAAACCACTTTAAAGATAATTTTCACAATTAATAAGTCGAATCTGCTAAACAAATCGGCCGAAAATTCGAATACATATCTAATGATATCTAAAATAAGAAATGTTTGTTTACACTGCCGTGTAAGGTGGGTTGCATACCTCTCAGGCACATCAATGCATTCTTTTTTCTACGACCTTCATGAAAATGCGGTGCATCCCATCCCGGCGACGTACACCCCGGCAACGTTTTCCCGGCGACAACCTATCTCGGCGACTATTGCTTTCCCGGCATCGGTTATCCCGGCAATGCACACTTTCCTAACGCCGTCCGTCCAACCTCATTTCTAGTTTGTTTTTTGGACATAAATAATGATATGATTTAGAAGCGGATGTCAAATTTGGTACCGAAAGAGTTCAAATTGGCGGCACGACCGAAGCCGGGATTGCCCATCGGGTCATCGTCGAGTTTAGAACGCCGGGATAACCGAAGCCGGGAAGTAAATGGTCGCCGGGATGACTGTGGCCGATGAAAATGAGACCATATAACGTATAATCAATGAATGAAAAGATTCTTTATTCAATGATATAACCCATTACCTACACCCGTGCGTAATGGAAAAAATTAGAATAGATCATGTACGTTTGGAAGTGATAATTATCTACAAATGTCAGAACTGTCGTCAGACGTCGTTTTGGGGTTTGCCTTATTGTCGTTTCGAAATTCACGGAAGTCGTAGAAAAAATATGGTACGTAATTCGGTTGGAATTTGCGTATTAAGGCGCGTTTACACGTACCCATCAGCTAGCGCCAGTCTCTCTGAGCTGCCATTCTTATCTGGCAATGAGCAAAACCCAGGTCGTTTACACGTAGTGAGCAACACTGGTGCGGGTATATGGCAGCTACTGGCAAGAAAAATAGACGCGGTCTCTATTCGCCCCAACGCTTAACTGACACGAAAAAGTATTCACACGATGCCAGTAATATGCCAGTTCTAGCAGGCCAGTAAGACTGGAGCCAGCTACTGGATACGTCTAAACGCGCCTAAACCAAAAAATGTTAAAAGAAAATGATTCCGTTTTTACAAAATCTTTACAAGCAAGTGAAATGTGAATCATACTCAAATGTAGTTGTGGCCTATTAGTAGTTACACTCCAAATTGACTGCACGAAAACCGGACATCTACGACAATAGTAATAGTAATTCTTGGAACCAATTTCTGCAGACGCTGCCCGGGGTGTTGTTCGGAAAGTGATCGAAAGGCTGGCTATTAATCCCTTTTTCAACGAAATGTATTGTGAATCGACTAGTAGGTACCTATGTAGTTTCAGGTGCCTTTGCATCTCGAACGTAGATTAAAAATCTCATCTTGCAAAGAGATCACTTTGGAACTACACTCCGCATCATTAATAAACCCCTAAAGAGCATCTCAAAAAGCGGCAGAGCACCTGATCGGTGTGGCCCTACGGGGTAATTCGATTTGGCCCATTTTCAATTTGCTTGTTACATGTGGCATATAGCCCGATAGGTCAACTGTGCAAAGTTTGAACCAAATCGGTCCAAGCGTTTGACAGTTATCGTTTTCACGGACGGACGGACGGACGAACACCATCGACTCTCCTATAAAGCTTGCATCGCTTTTGCTCTGCTGCTTAATAAATAAAAGTTACAGTGGAGGCCGAAGTACGGCTATCCATCCTGTGAAAAACGTCCACATGCATTTAAAGGGCCCCATTCACATGCGGATATGTACGGCGGATCTGTACGGCGGACAGATGCGTGTTGAGCTACACACAGGCGGATATGGCTGTACACAGATCACGGACAAATCTCAATAGACGAGCAGGCGGCGTTCTGTCGCTATTTCAGTTCTGTAGTACTAGCTCTGGGTTGTGTTCTTTTGGGTGCTGTGGTAATTGGTATGGATCATAAGGAGAAACTGACAATAATTTGATGATATATAGTATTATTTGAAGATACGAAAAAAAGAGACTGTGGTCACAACAGTGATTCCTGAAACGAAAAAAGTACCCTCATGTGAGAATTAGAACGAGAGAGTTCTAATCTCGGTTTTAATAATTTGCACAATTTATTAAAATATGTTCACCAGGGGGCGTAGCGTGAGTGATTGAGCGAGGGATGTGACGGGGGGGGTTTGGGGGGGGGGGTGGACAACCGCCAAATCGAAGGGGGGTTTTTGCAAAATTTGCCCTTGAAAATCGCATTTTAAAGCATTATAAGGTCCAGAATTGATAAACAAACGTACAATTTTTTTTTATTAAATTTAATACGAAAAAGCAGTAACAATAAAAAAAGGTAAGTATGTACTAATTTTTAAAATGAAGATCAATTCGTCGATTTTTGTTTTGTTTAGCGAAAACGTCTATAACTGTTTCTTCAAATGTGGGTACCGATCTCATATCTTCTAACAGTGCACCCTCAATGCTCATTAATGCTAAAGCGGAGAGTCTTTGTTGGTTTTGAGAATTTCGCAGATAAGTCTTTATTCTTTTTAAACAAGAAAACGATCTCTCTGCGGAACTGCTTGTGGCAGGAATAGTTAAAATTAATTTGCACAATTTAGATGACTCTGGGAAGACAGAAGATAATCCAAAAGACGTAATGTATTGATGTAGCTCAAACACACTGCTCTTTTTCATATCGGGATCTCTATAAATCACTGAAAGTTCACTTTTTAAACGATCTGCGTCAAAGAATTTTCCGTACGTGGTTAATAAAGAAGAAAAAAGTTCGTCAGGGAAGTTCTTTACAAATGAATCAAATAGTGTGGAATCCAGAAGACGTAAAAATTTCAACTTAGAAATTTCGCTAAACCGTTGAGTAATGTTCAAAATAATAACGTCTAAAATTTCATAAAACAAACGTGCGTATGTGCTTTTATTATCTTCTTCGGGAATTTTATCCAAACGCATTCTCTTGTTTGGTGGCCGATAGTCCGACGTAAATCTCTCCATACGCTCCCAAATATCACTAAACTCTTCTCTCATTCGCTGGATATGTGATTTAAAATTAAAATTTTCATCATGACCTCTAAATGGAAGGCCAAGTTTACCTAGCAGACATGTCACCCTGACAAGAGATCCCACAATGTGTCTGTTTTGTTTAACAATTTCATTATGTTTTTCTATACTTAGTTTGTACTGAGTACTTAAAGCAAATTCAATTCTTTGACTTTTTCCAAACAATAACAACTTTTTTTCACAGGAAATATGATTCTCCGAATTAGTATGCCTCTTACCGGAACGATATATATTGTTTAAATCATTATATCCCGATGTATTCCACACACTTTTCTCTGAAGAGAACAATAAACAAGACCAGCAAAAAAGCTTATTTAGTTCCTTACACCCACAAAGCCAATGTTCATTTTTATATACGTTTTCATTAAAATGTCGAACGCACGATTTCAGTTTCGTGTTTATATTTAAAGTGGGTCGCGGTTGTCCATTTTCAATTATTTGTAATTTTTGTGTAAACGAACAAGTATTAAATGACGAACGTAACAGCTTTTCAATGACACAGTCACATTTCATTGGAGCAGGAGCAGCCATCGCGATCGCATACAAAAACAAACTCAACGCGCTTATTACGCTTAAACTGCAAGAACGAGATGCGGTCCTGAAATCGCATCACAGTGCACGTAAACGAGCATTTAGCAGCAGCAGAGTGATCCATGTGAGGTCATTGATTCATGTTGACTTCGAACGTTTGTCTTTATGTGGCATACACCATCGCATCAAACCTAGTCAGTCAGCAACTTCGCTCGCACGGCTCGAAATAAAATAATTTAAATTTGACAGAGGCGTACTAGTAATTAGTAAATAAATAATGTATGCTTCTGGTAGGGTTAAAAAATATTAATTACCTACAAATAAAAAATAAATAAACAAATACCGCCAATTTTTGAAGGGATGCGACGCATCACTCGCATCCATGGACGCCACGCCCCTGATGCCTTACCAGTTATTGAGAGGAATGATACCCACATGAGGCAGTTACCAGTAGAGAGCGATTAATTGCCACGCTACAGTACTTAGCAACTTGAAGGAATTTTGAAGACCTAAAATTCAGTTTGCAATCTCCCCTCAGCTTCTCGGGAAAATTATACCTGAAACTTTCAAATAAGCCACCAGCCTTGGCAGAATATGCTCGGAAATGGCATAAAATAATTTCATTAGTAGTTAGGTGTGCTTGGTTGGTGGAGTAAGGCACTACAATCTTTACCAGTATTTAAATTGTTCCCCAAAAATGCGCATTGTGTTCTGGAATGTTAATATCACCGTAGTCTTCAAATTTTACATTTAAAGATATCCCCAAAAGGTAACTGATCGGATTGTATTTGACTAACAGTTTCACCAACAGTTCGGTGTTGTTCCGCAATTTTGCTTGTAAAATTTAAAAGATCATTTAGCACAATTTGCGCCTGCATTATATTCAAAGTAATTTAAACAAAATATTTTTTTAAATGACTGTTTAATTGGAGTAGGTTGAGTCGCATTTCCATTTTGATTTCTTAAATTTCCAAACATATTTTCAAGAATTACGTATTTGATGATTCTATGTCCGGCAAACAAATCCGTGAAACGACTACACACGTGCGTATTTGTCGGGCTCGCTGTCCGTGCTCGTCGTTCTGATCGACGGATGGCGAGCAAGATATGTACGCCGAACACGCGGATACACACATACGAATTGATACAGATCTGTCCCGCGTACATGTCCGCCGTACAGATCCGCCGTACATATCCGCATGTGAATGGACCCTTTTAGATTAATTAATCTCAGTAACCTAATTGACGTCCGTCAATTTTCAAGCTTTGCTCATACAAGGGGGTATCAGTCTGGAGGAAATTTTTAGTTTATTTGCAAAGTTTGGCGACACGAAGAGCGATGGAAAGGTGATCACTCTAACTAACGCCGACAAATGGTTGAAGCAAGCCCAAGTTGTCGATGGCAAGAAAATGACGACCACCGATACTGGAATAGCCTTTAATAAATTAAAGTACCTAAATGTAAGTAGGTTATGTACTTTTACTTAAATATGTGGTGTTACAGATCGAAAACGATCACATTTAAACAATTTATGGAGTTTATTGAGGATCTAGCGAAATCTAAAAACATGAATGTCGAGGAAATTAAGACCAAACTTCTAGCGTGCAGTATACCTGGTGGCCATGGAGTTACGGTACGTTAACTTCATAGCATTTCTGTTTGTTTGTTGCTAGACACCGTTTCGTTACATTTTATCTTTTTCGTACTTCCGAGACTAAAGTGACAACTTCACTCCATTATGACAAGTACTGAAGTGTCACTTTTTGTCCCGCCGGGATTAAATTTGGGCGAAAATCCCGGAAGGATGAAATTATTAACAAGGCAATTTCAGTAGGTTGTTTCACATTTTGTATGCGGCACTACTTCTTAAACTCATTGTACTGCTGCTCATATAGTTTTTTGGATTTCGGTGGTATCAATTCATTCCTTAGTTTGGCTGCTTTTTATCAATATCAAATACACCTTTGTCACCCACCACCAAAATTATGACACTAGCAATGACAGTTTCCAAATTATTTTTGTTACCATAGCATAGGGTTTGTCGTACCAACGCAACGTTCTTATGGTAACTGGTTAATCAGCGATTTTTTGAAAGAACGCGTTCTCTAACTCCATACATATTAAGTGTTTCAGTTTCGGAAGTACGAAAAATATCGTATATACCTTGCGACTGAAGTAGTGGTCTTAATCCCTCAGGTAAATTATATTTATAAACTTTACCTTCGGGATTAAAAGTACTACTTCAGTCCCGCGGTATATAATATACTATTTCTAGCAAACTGTGCATGTGGGCGGAGTGGATCGTCTTACGGATACGTCACAATATACGGGAAGCCATAAAGAGCGCTTTGATGAAAGTGGTAAAGGCAAAGGAAAAGAGGGAAGAGAGGACATTCATGATGACAGAGGATACGTGACAGGCTACAAAAATAAAGATACCTACGACAAAACCCACAAATGAACATATCTTGGCCATCCAAATAAATTACTAGCCCCCTAGTCTTTCTTTCCCGAACGAAATCATCAGAACTCGTGCTCTGGAGATGGTAAAGAATGTGACCAGAGTGTGAATGTGTCACTGAAGGCAAATGGCCAAATAAAACTCTCAATCTAATACGAAAGGTTGCGCTTACTATGGAAAGGAAATATTTTTCAATTTCAAAAATCGTGAATATGTCCGTTTTGCGGGGTATTGTAAGCATAATTCCAGAATTCCACCGAACAGTTAATGAGCTTAACCTTTCTTGACGAGTTATACCAACAAGTTAAAAAAGTAATCGTAGACAATTTAGAAAAAGCGAACTTGCATTCATTTCCCATTTGTAAGATGCAACTTCTTTTAAAATTTTGTAAAAATCCGGCCACAAATAAGATTATTACCCTAAAATTTCAGGAGGATTGGTTCACACTCACAGATAACGAATGTGGGTCTGGGCATGCGCAATACTTATTTTATACGTGCTTTTAGTCGGATCGGATTACGCATGCGCAAAACAAATTATTTGTACATACAAAATTTCATTTAAATATCTTAAAAAATAAAAAATCAAATTGCGCTTGCGCACAATACATCATTGAATTATTTCTACAAATTAAAAAATTGGATTGCGCAAATACAAAAGTTATCGTGCACACCGACAGCAGGCGGACGGACAGACAGACGGGCAGACAGCCAGACCGCAACACAATCTCGAGGATCGTTAATAAACAGCAAAAGTGTAAAATTATGGTACTACTGCATAATATATGAAGATTTTTTACCATAACTTTTTTCGTAAGCAGCACATAAAAAATTCCTTTGTGCAAACCAAAGAATACTTATTACTCTTGACAACATAACGGACTAAATTGCGATACAAGTATAAATTGTGCACAACTCCTTTGCAGATACCTAAAGCGCATTTTTTAGCGTAACACAACGAAGTTGAGGTAAAGCTTATGTGCTCGTGTTTCCCTCTGTCCGTCCGTCCATTCCATCGAGATCTCGGCCCCTGGGCCACCTAGAGACTTCGGGTTTTCGCTAATTGTCTATATTTGCCCATTTCGATCAGTTTCATTTAACTCCATATTTTGCGCAGATTGCGCAATGCCAACTTTCATATCTATGGAGATATTTCTTTGAAATTTTAACCACAGCCGCTTCTAGTAAAGGCAAACATTTCGCACATGGTAAAACTTATGTGGGCATGCGCAGTGACTGCACAGACTGCTCATAGCCAACTTTCTTATGCATGGTAATATTTCTTTGAAACTTTATTTTACTTATTTAACTCCTCTCTTTCTCTGGACGTGGACGTGCTTCAATACGCAGATTCGACATTTTGTGTGCTTTCGATGACAATGCATCGTTTCAATACTTAGTGTAACGCGGCAATACCCACGAGTGGGTTTTGAAACATTTTTTTTACCGAAATAGCTTGGTAAATGGTTGTGTGCTCTCGAAGTAGGTACATAAATGATCAATGGACAGGAGGATCTTTGCACATAAACGTTTAAAGGCCGCTTTGCATACATTCAAAATCCTCCGACACTCCATATTTGCACTGAAAGCGTTTGACGGCATCCCCAATACATATGTCTCGTTCTGACGTTCCACTTGCTTTTTACGAGTAGGTACGCTCTTCCGATTCATTTTGCCTTTGACAGTACTTTCCTCCGACAAACGTTTTCCGAGATACAAACGTAGATATATAGAGGAATAAGGAGTCGAGGAGGAGGACTATATGGTTGGTAGAAATTAATTCCTTTCATTGAGCCGTTCCATTAGAGTATCATGAAGGATAAACCAGTTCACCCACCTCTTTTGATAAGAGATCGGAAAGAAGCACAGTTGGTTGTCGTATGTAAAACTTATGCACGTGTTACTTTCAAAAACAGCATCTCAGCAAATAATTCAAGAGCCCCCTCCCCCGGAAACGAAACTTGATGGCCGTCTGGCTCACCTCCAAGCCCCAAGGCATAAGCTTCTAGGAACATTCCCCTAAAAGTAGTTCAAAACGGCAAAAGTGGGACCCACTTCCGGACAGGACGGACAAAACGCAAACAATAGCAAATGTTTTTAATTCGTCAAAAAATGCGCTAAAAAGTACCTACAACAATAGCTCTTAACTTAAGATTAAGAACTAGTAGCGGCCGAACGGTCGTAGGGTCGGACAGACGGAAATGCGCTGAAAAAACAAGGAAGATTGGCAAGATTACCTAAAAAATCATTTAAGGGGGGGGGGGGGGGGGGGGGAGCAAATGTTTTAGAATCCGGATGTTACCCAATATTCTTATAACAAAAAAATGGTTCATCCTCGAAACTTTATACCAAACCAAGCACTTAACGTTGTAGCTGGTTATTGCCGCAGAATTATAATTAATAATCTTCCATACTCTGCTGAAGGACGCCTAATTTTATGCAACTGAATTAACTACTTAAAACAACTGCAGATTTTGCTGTCATATTAATGAATTGGAGTATTATTGCGTTGGCTTCTGTATTTTTATTTTCGTTCGTGTGCGATGTATTGAACTAAAGAAAAACTTGATATTGTCAATATATTGGTATAGTGCCGGTAATACTATACTCTCGACTATACTAGACACCTATTTTCTGTGTTGATCACTTTAAAATTAGGGGTTATTGAAATGCGAACCACGTAAGACACGGTAAACAACTCTCAATTTTAACGAAGGATATGAAACTGAATGTTTTAATTTTTGCGGAAAAGAATCCCATAAGATACTTGAGGGAAATCCTCTCCATCATAACCTAAAAGCATACTATTTACTGTCGTTTTTATTATAATCTAGAATGCCAATGCAAAATGCGTGCGCATGTTATTTCGTTCAAAAGGATTTTTGTCATTTAAAACTAGACAGGAAATCCCCATGTCTACTTCTAAATGAATAGCACTGTATACATTGTGTGGATAGTAACGGGCGATCAAAAATGAGTTGCTGTCGAGTCGCCCCTGGAAGTTCAAGTTAAATACGAATTCCCATGTAAACAAAAGTTCCAAAGGTGACTCGACAGCAACTCATTTTTGATCGCATTGTATAATGAGTAATGATCTTCGAAAATTTGCTTTGAAATAAAGTATTATAAATAGAAATTGGTTATTAGCCCATGTTTTGAGCTAAAATTTCGAGTTATTGTGATCTTTTAAATTTTCGACCTTTATGAGATAAGTATTTAAAAAATATTACTTTTGGGCCTTCCAGGGCTTCCTATATAAATAAACATGCCGGGGAAATAACCTAGTTTTTATTTATACATAACATAAGTCAACAATAAAAAGGCGCACAATTCTGGACTGCTGTAAAGTGTAAACTGTAATCATACATTTGTCTCGCTCGCTTCTGTTTGTTCATCCGTCTCATAGGTACTCTCATATACTCATAAAACAAAATCAAAGCATTCATTATCAATTTATCACTTATCAGTAGCAGGTAGCAGTACATTTCATATGATAATTTTACACGAGCATGCAACAAACCTGAACCTCTGAATGCGTAATTTCATAATTTGATTTAAATTTTCTGCCCCGGTACCATCCCACTCCCCATTTTGACACGAAAAATACGATTATAAAGTATTTACGTTAGTAGGCAGAGGTCTGAGATAATATCAGCGAAAACTGAAGGCTGCGCGAAACCGAGAAAATTTCAGTCCAATTTCCACCTCCGCGTTGCTGTAGTCGCTTTTCGTGCTCCGTAGAAATTCACGTGAAAATCGTGTCTGCAGTTTTAATTTACGGCGTTTACGCAAATAAAGGATACAAAGTAACAGGTTGGCGATTCTATTATCGTTATTTATTAATTTTCCGGAATTTCTCGTATTATAAGAACCACTCTGGCATAATTGACTTACACAATCAAGAAGTGATAACTTCATCCTAATTAAGAAACAACAAGCGTACAATATAACAAAAGCCACTGTGTCGATAAAATTGTATACGATAACAATTTCGTTCGGACCGATTTCGAGTTATAATTAAAATTATGCCGAGGGTCGAATAATTTTGCACGTCTAAATATAGCAATGATAAACAAAGGGACTTTTGCTGTAAGGGCCGTGAAAATCGATTCTGTGTTTTGCGCATGCATTGCATTGTATCCCTTAAGTTGTGGGGGTGATTCACTTGAGCTCAATATAGAAATAGGGAATTTACCCGCCTGCTAATCGTTTCGGAAAAAGGCTAAACATTTTGAATGCCACGATTGTAATTTTAATGGTACTTGACCGTCTGATACCTGTACTTTGAATACGAATGTGAGAACTTGGCCAAAAATAGCGATGATTACTTGCGTATTCGTTAACATGGTAAATATGTATGACATAAGTGAAAAGTAGACGGAAAGTTTATTATCTTCCTATAGAGGTAGATTAAATATTTTTTATTTATTGTGATATCATGCATTAACATATTCGGATAATTAGCCAATCACGAGGGATTAAATAGAAATGATGGAACCAAGTTGAGATGTAACTTTATCACTCGCATCCGTAACATTAGTGCACATTCAACTTCCATATTCGTTTTATAATTAGGATTTCTAATTAGTTTCGAGATCTCGAGTGTTGGTTGCTTGGCAAAAGGAAATTCTAGTCTAGGTGTGGCGTCCTGTCTGCGTGTACCTCTCCACTTTCATTCTGCACTCAATTTTATCTGAATGATTGTTTTTTCGTGCGTTTCCAAAAATTAAAAAAAAAGATACGCACTATGTGCCCGGCTGTATTTAGCACTAATGATCAAAAAGTTAGCGCAAGATGTCGCTAATGCCATTTTCTTCCAACAAATTTTCCGTTTTTGTTGCTTATTTCGCATGTAGCTGTTTCCTTCACAATCTTTACTCCAATTTCAGTTTGATTGCTGCGTGTCAACTGTCAAGTACCTACCCGAACTTGATGTTTTATTGGTGGCAATCAAGACGCACAAAATTTTAACCTATAGGTAGGTACGAGGGTAGGTACAAAAATTTTGTTGGGTAAAAGGATAGTGTAAAGTAAAACAGCATTTATGTAGGTACTTACATATTTTGAAAACCGAATAGATTCAAGCGTTTGTCAGAGACAGAGAGACGTGACCCCAATTGGATTTGACCCATTTTCAATAGGCTTGTTACATGTGGCATATAGGTCAACTGTGCAAAGTTTGAACCGAATCGGTGCAAGCGTTTGGCAGTTATCGTGTACATGGACGGACCGAGGGACGGACAGACGGACACCATCGACTTCCCTATAAAGCATACATCGCTTTGCTCTGCCGCTTAATAATACTTAAATGTGGGAGTCTTCGAAAAAACGCTCGGACCCATCGATTTTTGTAATAAGATTTTTTTTAATGATAAATTCATGTATACAGGGTAGCCAAAAAATAAATTGAGATCATCAACTTTTTTTCAAATGAAAACATGTATTTTAAATTTCATACCTACGTAAGTAAATAAAATATAGGTAACATGCTAGGTACTTAAGTGTGCATCGAGGTGTGCATGTATAATGTACAGGGTGGTTCAAATTCTTGGGTCGCCATTGGGATCTCTGTAACGGTGTATGTTAAATGTGGGCAAATTTGCTCCTTTTTGTGGCTAAAAAAAGCATTTGAAATTTTTGAAAAATTTTGAAAATAACAGATGTCATCGAAAAACTGAAAATGTTAAATTTCGTTTTCATTTTCCCTGTCTTAAACGGGCGGAACTCGGATGTGGACGATTCCGGTTAGCACCTTCTATCGACACTTTTCGGAGAATCTGAATCTCTTATCAGAAATTCCATTTTCCAACACACGTTAAATGTAGAACGAGATGTAGAAGCTATACGGACTACTACTTACTTTCTTATTTCTTGTGGACGCCATGTTGGATTTTTATGCAATGTGATAGGGAACAAGAAAGGAAATTCATTTGAATGCATCACCATCATAGCCATGTTGATTCAGCAAGATCTAGTTATCCATGGATGTTTTGTTGAGAAAAAAGCATTTGATTTTGAATTTTTTCTTGTAATTTTATTCGAAATTTATGTAAACCAATCAACCGTAAAAGTATCGAGTGTGACAGGTCATTATTTTTCATTTTTGATTCCGCAAAAATCCAATAACCTAAGAAGGTAGTAGCTTCTACCTACATTTTGCGGATGGAAATTCTGATAACAAATTCAGATTCTCCGAAATGAAAATTGACATTTTCAATTTTTCGGTGATATCTCAGTTGTTTTCAAAGATTTCAACTTTGCCCCCCATTTAACCTGCACTGTATCACTGACCGTTGATGAGCCACGAATTTGAACCACCCTGTACAGGGTTTTCGACTCTTTTATAAGTTATGTCCGTAATTGTAAGCGGTATCAAAAAGTAATAAAGGTGCCATTTCAAAATTTGCAAAGATTCGCGCTCTTAAGAGATACGGGGGAAAATAAAAAAATCGTTAATGATGAATTTTCTTAGATAAACAGAATCTTTATTACAAACATTTCTTTGCAATGATTATTCAATAATCTGAATTTCAAAATAAGTATACGGAGTCAGATCAAAAAGTTATCTGACCTAACCACATTTTTTTTTGGAACACCCTGTATATTTTAATTTAAAAGATAGGTTTTCTTTTCAAAAATATACACGAGGGATGATCAAGTGATTCAAAATAGGTTAAAGATTGAAAAAAGATTTAAATGATTCAAAAACATTTCAAAATGATTTTAAATTAAAAAAGATCTTTTTTGGGTGATTTGGAATCATATTGAATTTTTTAGTGTATTTTTAAAGAGTATTTAATATATTTTTAGATTAAAATATACAGGGTGTTTAATTTAAAAGTGAGGTTAGGTCCAATAACTTTTTTACCTGATCCCGTATACTTATTTTGAAAACAGTAGGACATGATTATAAAAAAATCTTTCGTAATAAACATTTTTCTGCACCACTAAGAATTATGAAATTAACATTTTTTGGATTTTCGGCCTTATTTCTTAAGCGAGTGAATATTTTTCAAATTTTATTTTACCATTTTTTTTTACTCCAAAAGAGCACTTTTTTTAAATATAAAAAGTCATGAATGTTTTCAAAACAATAGATTTTTAAAAATATTTTTCAAAGAGATTCTCAAAAGATTTCTAAAGTTCTACTTATTAATGCTCCAAGATTTACCTACAGAAAAATAAAAAAAACTGTTAGGAAGAATTTCTAGCCTGATGATTTAAAAATAGGCTCGTTTGATTTATAGGGTGACCCTACCAAAATTACTAGGTAGCTGAACTATTTCGGGAAAAAATATTATCAAAATATATTGATCTTTGAACCCTTTTTTCATTTTTTTTTTTAAATTTTTTTTAAATTTTACGCCACTTGAAAAATACAAACAAACTACAGAATTGACTACAACCAGACTAACAGTAACACGCATTTACATATAACACACAGAAAGACATAATTAGGTTTTGCAGAGGTATTCGCTGATACTATAGAACGGATTATCAAGAAAGAACGTTTTAACCTTAGACATAAAGGAGGCCTGATTGCATTTCAGGAGATCAATAGGGAGGCTGTTGAAAAGTTTAATGCACATGTATTTTGGAGAGTTCTCGAACAGGGTGGTTTTATGTCGAGGGACGGTGAGCTTCGAACCGAAACGTGTCTTCCTGTCACAGCTGCGGATCTCTTCGTTCGTTGTAAACTGATATGAGTTGTCGAAAACGAATTGCACACAGTTATAGATATATAGGGAGTACACAGTCATTATTTGCAAGCGTTTAAAAAAGAGGTTTGCAGTGGTCACGCATGCCAGAGTTACACATATGACGTACGATCCGTTTTTGCAGTAACAGCAGTCTGACAGTTGCATTGGAGTTGCCCCATATAATGATGGCGTAGTGTAGTTGACTTTGGACCTGGGCATAGTAGTACTTCAGTAGAGCAGACTGCCCTACCACGGGCCTCATACATATAATTGCGTAGCATGCACTTTTTAGTTTCGAGCAGATTTGATCGATGTGAGAGCTCCAATTTAGATTGTCACTTACAGTTACTCCAAGGAAGCGTTCGCCACTGGTAATGCGCAACAGTTTCCCATTCATGATAATGTTAGGACGTCCCGCTTGGTTATTTCGGCTATTGCAGAAGCTTACTACGCCAGTTTTGGTTTCGTTTAATTTTAGCTGGTTAGAATCGCACCACTCTCTTATGCATGTTATAGCATCACAGGCCTTTTGTGCTAGGGTGTCCAAATTAGGATCCGATATCACTAAGGAGGTGTCGTCTGCATATTTGCAAAGAGAAATGCTCGGGTCGTTGAACTTCCTATCCAGGTCGTTGACAAAGATCGCGAAGAGTAGTGGAGCTAAGGTGGATCCCTGGGGCGTTCCAATTTTGTAGTCCAGTTCAGAGGATTTGAATTTATGATTCGTTACGTTGCCAAATTTACCGGATAGTTCAACAAACTGAGACCTCCCCGTTAGAAAGGAGCTCAGTAATTTGAGCGGAATGCCTGTGATACCATATGACTCCAATTTCTTCAATAATATATTGTGGTTGACGATGTCGAAGGCTTTAGAAAGGTCAAAGTAGATTCCTATGACGTGTTGTTTATTGTCCAGTGCTTCATAGATGCGGGTAATGGAATCGAATAAGGCTGTGACTGTTGATTTTCCTTTTATAAAACCGTGTTGCGTTCTGAACAGTAGCTTGTATTTAGTTAGATAGTTGATTAACCGGTTAGCTATGCATTTCTCAAATAATTTTGAGAAAACAGATACTAAGGAGATGGGTCTGTAGTTCGTGATGTCATGCACAT